ATACATTAGTGTCGAGCAGAGTTAAACAGTTTGTGCATGTAGATAGACTCTTTGTGACAGGAAACAATTGCACACACAAAACACACAAGCACATGCAGCAGAGCAGGATTAGCCCTGGCAGCATTTTGGTTGGAGCCTTATCTGAAGTAATGGTGGATGAGAGTCTTGATTCATTTTCCCCTCTCCTGTCACACTGAGGAGTTCTTTGCCTGAGGACAACACTTCTCGCATAATAACACCCTCAGTATCAAGAACACACTTGGGAGTCATCCTGCATGTTTAACACAAATATGCAGATTCTCACTAGTTATGATCTTATCATTTACAAATCCACATGCTTTATCATGTGTTTTCATCTTCAGCTTGCTCGTTCTTTTTGAAGCACATGCAATAATATATATATATATATATTTTACATAATGCAAACATGACAAGTACCATCGGCTCCTTGTAATGCTAACTGACAGATGAGAATAGAGCGCTTAGTTTTTTTCACCTTGAAAGGGCTCTCTTTTAATGTCATGTCATATTAGTTGATGTCACCTGGGACAGGGCGTTAATAATGGAGATGAATGGAACTGTCAGTGGAAGGGAACAGGTGTTTTATACTGACACGCAGGCACAGAGAGGAGAAGACAGTCGCGCTGAAGGAAAGGGATAAAGGCAACATGAACGGCTGCAGGCAAGTATACTGTATACACTTTAATTAGGCACTGGGAGAAAACAGATCATCTTGGGAAAGAGATACACGGCTACGTATTTACCAAGAGGAGTGTACCACTACACTCTCCTGCTGAATGTCAAAACCACAACTGAAGACCCTTCAGTTCGCTAAATGGAAATACAAAATTGGTTAAAAAAAAATCCAATAGAAACTAGCATTTTTTGGCATATTTTGGCAGCAATATTGGAAACAATTACAATGTACTTTAACCTACTTTGATGCTCCATTTTCTTTTTGCGGTAGTGGTCCAACAGGGCAAGCAGTGCTTGTCCAGTGAAATCCAAACCAGAAATTTCAATAAGGAGAAATTCATTGAAAAACATTGACTAGATTTATTGAAGTACAAAGCTTTTATCATATTATATTAATATAATTATATCCTATTTGGCAACTGGACTCTATGCTGAGGTAGCAGAGCAGAGCAGAGGAGGAAGCGGGAGAAGACCTGTGCAATCTAGATGCTTGTGGTAGTAGAAATGGAACAAGTGGAAGATTGATCTCTGATTGACGCAGTGGAGATGGGGAAGAGCTGTAGAAGAAGAATTGATTTTGACAGCATGGGGAAGAAGTGATTAAAATAATAGACTAAAACCCAAATAGCTTTGGATACAGGCAGGCAAGTGCATACAGATCTTTGTTGTTGAAAGTACGCACAAGTTTATCAATTTGAAAGTTCAAGCTTGTCAAGCTGAGAGGACAGCAGCTGTTTCTGGTTGTTGCACATGTGCATTGCAGATAAATCTCCACAGCATGTCTTTTATCCTGTCTTCCTTCTCTCACCCCAACCGGTCGCAGCAGATGGCCGCCCCTCCCTGAGCCTGGTTCTGCCGGAGGTTTCTTCCTGTTAAAAGGGAGTTTTTCCTTCCCACTGTCGCCAAAGTGCTTGCTCATAGGGGGTCATATGATTGTTGGGCTTTTCTCTGTATCTATGAAGCGCCTTGAGGCGACATTTGTTGTGATTTGGCGCTATATAAATAAAATTGAATTGAATTGAATTGAATCTCTTGTCTTTGACAGGAAATTTATGGAACACTAGTGAACTAGACAAGCTACTGTTTGCTTTGCTTTCACTGCACTGAGATCAGTTGCTATTCTTTGCAATGTGTTGTAACAGAGCCAGTGTTAGCAAGGAAATGTGTTATCATCAAAGCCTGGATGATAGAGATGGGACATCAAATGCAAATCCACTCTTCTGCAAAAGTCATCACATGCCATGGCTCTGGCTGTAGCTTGAGCAAAAGCCACATAAACAGCTTGTCCTCACTTGATTTTAAAGCAGTTTAAAGATGAAAAGCTGCCCTTTTCCTTCTCCTTCTCCTCCTTTTGTGATAGCTATTATAGTTTTGCTTTTTTAAATTTCTATTTATTTTTATTTAATTTTACATTTTCAGTGCAGTTTAGTTTAAAGCCTAGGTTATACTCTGTTGTGGACACAGACACAGACAGATAGACCTCTGATAGTGGAATAATCATTCTTTTTATACTTCTTTGACATCCACTCGAGGTCTGCCGTCTGGGGACCAGGTCTAGTTGGTGCCCAAAAACAGGCAGGTGCACGAACATCCGCACGAACCATTATGCTAACCATCTGATAATGTAATTTTTATGTCACTGGGTCCTGAGTGGACCCTAGCAGACTCATAGACATGGAAAGCATAATCCCTGCTTAGTTCATTTTCATGATTCAAAAATGTATTACATGTAATAGTCATTAGTCATTAGTTTAGTTTTTCTCAAAGTAAACATTATCTTTTAAGTGAATTTATTCGCATTATCTAAGGTGAGGGTTTGGTATCTTTCCATGATTACTTTTCGATTTTTGGTTACTTTCCTAATCCAAACTCCAAATAAACTCTGTCAAACATTGTGAGCAGAAAAAGAGGAAATAAAAGTCAGACAGCTGGACAGAAAGGCAAAAAAAATAAATAAAAATAAAACTGACAAAAAATGATGACGGGCACATGGAGTGGCAGCAGCTGTTGAGATGTTGGATGTATCACTGACACCACACTGAGCTCAGATCAGAAGTGCAAAGTGAGAGGAATTTGGTGAGGAGAACGCGTGTGCGTGTATTTGTGTTCGGATGCGCCTGCTTGTGTCTATCAACGGCTGAGTGACTGAGTACAGCAACAGCTGTGACAGACCTCTCGAGCACAGCTTCACTGATATACGACACACATGAAGGCATGCACACACGACTTAGTCAGTCCTGTAGCAACAGCAAATCCAGGAGACGCTCTTCTAAAGCACAGTATTGAAGTTTGTATAGTTTGCATTCGTCTACTCTCTCTTTTTTTAAAAAAAAAAAAAAAAACCTCTGTTAAGGATTTTCTTCTAGACACTCTCTCTTTTGTTTTTGCTGAATCTAATCAAGGAGTTCTTCAAAAGAAGTGGTTGGAAATGGCTGTTTTGATGAGAACAAATCTCTTTTGATCATGACTGACACCAGAAATGTTGCAGAGTTCTTCTTCTTTCACTTTTCTCTACTTTGAAGGATATTCCTTCATTTCAGTCACAACAATGGTCTCCCAGAGCTTGACTCTTTAAGCGGATTGCTTTGTTTTGGGGGGATTTCAAGGCTGCAGAAATCCAGCACCTGGACTAAACTGATGTCCACAATTGGCTGTCGTTCCTATTGTGGTGTTTTTGTGGATGACTCACTCAGGGGTAATTTTCCAGTTTGCTAACGCTCGCCATGCTGGAGCACCCTCCATGTGTCCGGATTGACCCTGCCCCTTTCAGGCCTCAGCCAATCAGATGCAACATGGATAAGCCAGATATGCGTTTTGAGTTAGAGCGCCAAGCCTGTCAGAGTCTCAGACAAGGTGAGATACCTGTTTCTAGTCACGTTTCCAGTTCACATACAGCACATGAACATTTTTAGAGCTGCACTCACACAACACATGAGGATTTGAAAATGTGTGTAGCTCAGTTTGATTGTATTAGTAGTTCTTTTTAAGTAAAGCAATTTTGTGAAAATGTACACTGAATATTTGTAGATATTACATCAACTGTTTTAAAAGTTTAGGCTTTCCAATCAAAGAATAGAGGTTTATTTTCTGGGCCGAGGTGTTAAAGGGATCAAATATTCTGCTAGTGGCTTGGTTACAGTTGGGGCACAGCCAGCCTGGGCACAGCACACGTCGCCTTGAGCAGATGAACCGAGCAACCTGTTGGCTGGAGGTCCCTGGGCCTTGAACCAAAGTATCTGGACAGAGAGGAGTGTGGACCAATTTAGACAAGGACAAACTCCAAGAGGCTTTAGTTTCTTTTCATTAAAAATTTAAAGGCATGTTATGGTGCATTGCCACAGTTTCAGTTATTGAAAAATATGCAATAACTAATAAATAGCAAAATAACAGCCGCAGCTATGCCTAGCAGAGACTGCCCATGCATCCTTTCACCACATCGCTTCTCACGTTTTCCCATCAGACCGAGTGTGCACAACCTTTTAAGCTGTCCTTACACTTTATGTACTTGTGTGCGAGTTGGCAGTTTACAGTAATGTTCCTCTTAATTCACAGGGCGGTCTAGAGGGATTGGGTTTCGAGTGGTTACAGCATGGTCGGAAATAGAAAACTTGTGGGGCGGGGGAGAGAGGGGAGACACAGAGGCAGACCACAGGTTGGGGGCAGAGAAGACAATCTGAACTGCCCACTACATCATGTTTACCATATAGAAGACTCCTTAGGAAACAAGAAAAGACTGATGGATAAATACACACTGTAACCAACTGTCTCTCCACAACTTTGAAATAGAAAAGGTGGTCCACAAATCCATGCACATTCAATTTAATGTAGAAAGCACTCTGAGTGAACTGTTCACACAGAAGTGAACCAGATGTGATACATCGGCTAGTCATTATCACTGTCACACATGCAAAGCGGTCATATATGTGAAAATAATTGTATTATTGTTATACATATTTGACAACCTCCTGTACTTGTACCTCTGTGTCCTTAATGAGTGTTTTCGACACCTCATCATGCATCAATTAAGATGTGAATTGACGATCATTAAACAGGTTCTGTCAGGGAGGCTGTGTGTCAGGCAGGAGTTGGATCCAAGATGCAGGATTCAAAGGACTGAAAGTAAAAGCAGCTTTAATGCTGAGCCTGAACAAAGCACACAATATCAAAGACCAGAAACGAGGAAACCAAAGCTACAAATCATCTAAGAACCCACACTGGCAGGGAGGACACAGCCATGAGGAAGAATGTGACAAGGGTCAAGGAAATACTGAGACAATATATATAAACACAGAGGATAATGAGGCAACAGCCAACAGCTGAAACTAATTACAGGTTACAAGACAGGGGAAATTGAGCTAAATACAAAGCAGAAGAGATGTGAGACCGCCAAAATAAAACAGGAAAAAACAGAGCACGGGAACTGAAACACAGATAAGACAGAAGGCTAAACAACCACAGAGACAGACTGTCTTTACAAAAATGCATGGGGAGCACAGGAGGAGTATGATTACAGAAAAAACATAGAATACAAGCAAAGTAGAACCAAGAGAACAAAACTAAGAAGACGTGAGGATACAAATAGTAAAAAAACAAAAGAATTACAGCTATAATGAGAACCAAAACCTGGAATAACCATCTCAAACTCAGTATATTCAATAAATAAGAATTCAAAAGTCCAAACACAGAAGATACTGAGTCAAAGACCTAGGATCATGACCACTTCTGAGTTTTTCCAAGGATACCCTAGTAAGCTGTACAGGAGATCAGCCTCACTAATTTCTGATAAACACTCAGTCTTATTGTTCTGGAAGAAGAGGTTTGTGACAGATGAAAATAAGTTGTAGCATATGAAAGGTCTCGTTTTACCTACATTTTGATACCAGGCTCGTCTTCTAGCAGTGATGCCTTCTGTGTAAAAACGTTTTTTTTAATATGCCCACGTAACTGGCTTATGGAGTGGCTATGAAATGGAGAAATAACACTGGTGTTCATATTATGTTGCTCAAACAACTTTAAGTCATGAAGAAATCTCTTAGGCTCAGTGCAGTCTTTGCAATTTGTTGCTTCATTGCCTGTTCAGCTTGTGACAATTTTAGTTTCGGATAATGCAATTCAATTCACCAAAAAACAGTCGCCTGAATGCTTTGTATTGTAAGGTAAAGACCCTACAATAAAACAGAGAAAACCTCAACAGTCAAATAACCCCCTTTGACACAGATCCCATGTTTCATTTTACTCAATGAGCTCAATGGGCTCTTTTGCATGGTCAAATTGCACAAAGTGCTGTGTGCATAAACTGTTTATGACTAGGCTAAAGCGAGACTTCCTCTTATGTAGTAGCGTTTGACCAATGAGTGCACATTCCAAACATAGATTCTTTCTCAATACATACAGTAGCATCACTTTGCAAATGTAAGTGTTTGTCAATGTGTGTGTTTATGTGTTGATGTGTGATTACACTATGCCACCATAAGTGGAGATTAAAATGTGCATTTGCACTGCAATGTATGTTTGCGTGCATATGCAAATATTATGCATGCTTGTAATGAGTATCTGTGTTAGTGTTTGCTTAGTGTGGCTGCCCATGTTTCCCTGCAGGAGCCAGTTAAATCTTTCCTGCTGCCAAGGGGAGAAACTGCACCATCCATGTCAGCCAAGTCCTCATCACAGAAATCAAAGTGATATGAATGTTTTTGTAGGTCGCTCATAAGGACTATCTGTAGATTCTAATGGGCCACAGTAACACAGCATGGTCCCATTTTTTCCAACTCAGGGAAGAAAATGTAGGCCACACTCAAATTTCTGAAAACATTCAGCTTGTCCTTATTAAGTAAGACTTTTACAGGTATAAAGACAGAAGACATGAACCTGAAAACCTGAAAATGTATAAGGAAGACCGGAGATTTAAGAGATAGATGTGGAAGTTTCGATTCGGGTTTAGAAAAGACTTGAAATCTGATAATATCCAAATCTTGTTCATTACAGTACATACAGTGCAAAAATCTTGACTCGCCCCTCATTTCTTTATATATTGTTTCCAGTGAATTTCTTGTCATTTTGTCATTGTGCAAGTGGTCTTTAGTAATAGTTCTATAGGTTTTCTGAAAGTCTTTCAAAGTTTTTCTTTGAACATTGGCAGTGTGGGATCACTTTGACAGAGAATGGAACAAAGGCAGCCAACATCCAAAGACCTGTGAATGTCCTTCAAGAAGCCTGGAGAACTATTCATGAGGAATTCTTAAAGAAATGACAAGAAAGTTACCTAAGACATTGTTGAAGAACAAAGGTGGTTGTACAAAATATTGACTTTCTGGCTTGTTAAAATTGTACAAACTTTTGCCTTATGTGCCATATTTCCAGTTTGTACATGTTTTAAAAAAGTAGCTTAACCTAATTGAAATGAGGGGTAGATGTTTGCATAGTACTGTATTACAATTAGTGGTTTCAGTGTTTTCTGTGCAGCATTTCATCTATTTTAACCTCTTAAGCCCCAACGCCCCGGATACGAGGGCAAAAGGCAGGAGATCGCATTTGGGGTTAGGCGTTGGGGCTTAAGAGGTTAACCTGATTTCAGTTCTCTAACAAACTGGGCAATAATATGTCTATTATTTATCATATGGAAGCAATTAACTCATACTCCTAAGGTTTTGAATGTAGTTTTCTGAAATTATGGGCCCTTTGTTAGTCATTGGTGCTACTTTCGGTCATTACACAAATGTACTGTTTATAAAGTGGGGGAAACCTGCAGTCAGGTGAGACTGAAGAAGTCACTTGGATGAGAAAGGAAAAGTTTCTTCCTCTATAAACACTATGACCAGATGAACCAACTTTCTGTGACCCCCACTATTATTTGGTTAAATGTCCCTTGGCAAGTTTCACTTCGGCCAGCTTCTTTTGGTTGCCACCAAAAAGCTTCTGGCTTGAGACTGTCTGGATATTTGACCATTCCTCGTGAAGAAATTGGTAGTTGAAGTTAGTGTAAATTGGATGGTCTCTTTGCATGGACCTGGCTTTTAAAGAATAGTGCACAAATTTTAATAGGTTTGAACTTGGGGATTTCGGAAACCTATTCCAGAAAATGGAATGGTCAGTCTAAATGTTAGCCTGCTTTATTCAATAATCTTTATGGTCAGACGGGACACAGTTGAATGCCCCAACAGGATAAAGATCCCAAAGATTCAGCAAAACTGGTTTTGGAATAGCTGAAGGGTAACATTAAGCTTCTGAAACTGGCTTCCGAAAGCTCCACCCTTAAGTCTTTTGAAAATTTGTTGCCCATCATTCAAAAATAAATCTTAACCAGGAAACCAACCAATTTAAATGAACTAACTATTTTGTCAAGAAAAAGTGGTACGATGTCCAGCCCAAAGTTTATTGATGGCTACCATAGGGTTCTGGTTGAAGTGGTACATGCTGAGGGACATTTAACCAAATATTAATGGTGGTGCATGTACATTTGAGTCTATATGTATACTTTTGACCCCGTGTAGAGAAAATCCATAATAAATTCAAACTTTTTTTATACCCAATTCTTGTTTTTTAACATCGTGTCCATAGTCAGTTCCCCCCTGGAAAAAACAGTTCGAAGACAGCCCAAAATTATCACGACATTAAACCAAACTGTATTTCTGCATTAGTTTATTTCTTTTACTTGTCTAAAATTGACGAAGTGCTGATCAAGCATACCCACATGGGGTCTTAGCCCATGGTGGAGGAATACTCTGATGAGGAAAGATGAGCTACAGTTTCAATGTCACTGGGGTGATCAGCTTCAGCCCAGAAAGTACAGCAGTAAATTTTCACTTTATGGATATGTCCTTTCAAACTACTGATCAGACATTATGGCTCAGCACTGAGTACTGGATTTGTACTTACTGTAGAAGGTTAAATTTAAACATTTAATAGAACCTATTTAGGAAAATGAGAACAAAATGTGACCAGGCAAAAAACAAAAAGAAAGAATATTATAACACAGCTATTCTGTTGTGCATTTCCTCACTTTGTCATAAGATTTTCCCCAAAAACTATCAAAAGCATATGCATGCGCTTCATTTGTGTTAAAAGAAACAAGCTAAACATAAATGTCTGGCTATAATACATGGGAACCAAAACCTGCAGCTGAGACCAAAAGTTATTTATTAATCCCACTCAATCACCACATCACATTGTCATATTGCCTGATCTGCTCTGAAAAGACCTGTGATTGTAGGTGAAGTTATTTCTTATTGGAAGTCACAACTTATAACACACTGTGCAACACCTCAGCCACACTTCTATGTGGCAACTGTGTGTACTAATACTGTGGATGCAGAAAGTCAGAGTGCGTGAAAAAGACCTTCACACTCAAAACGTTTCCAGGTACTGCATTTTACTGCAACTCACTGCTCAGATCAAAGTGCTGAGGTACAGAAAATCCTTTCCTGCCAGTCCATATTTTCATATCATCTTGAAGCTCAGCCCTCAAAATGTTTTGCAGATATAAATAAAGTTGTGTGAACAAATCAATAATTTATAAAATACAATCAAACAAGCATCAAGTTCAATCCAGGCGCTCTCAAAATGAGCAGTCTGCTGTCTTTTTTTTCTCACACTCTGTGGGATCTTGTAATGTCACGAATGTGCGACTGTGGGCTGCCATTTCATCAAAAACGTGAAACAGGAAACAGCCAGTACGTGTGTTCATGTGTGTGTCTGACTTCCCTTTGTAGTGTGTTACATAACCTTTGTGCATCCGATCATAAAAGATCACAATTTTTGTAGCAGCTAATAGTGTAGACAGAAAAGTCCTCATAGAGTAACTTGGATATATCACGGCAGCATAACTGCTTCAATCTACTGCTTTCATTTTGCTCGTGGGCATTTGCTTAGTAATGTCTCTACCTTTGTGGCGTTCGGTGGGTGAGAACTGAGATAAACATGCATACACACTCAGTCTGATGATGTTTTCCATTCATTCTGCCACTACTGACTTGCATCTTGGTGTTCAGTTCTTCAGCTGAAGTTGCAGCAGAGAAGGAGCAGAGAGGAGCTCGTCAGCCAGGGGATCATGCCACGTAAGTTACAACAAAACACTTTTAAGAAATATTTTGATATGAACTGTAAATAAACTCTTACAATAACCTTGCTAGTAGATACAACCGGCACATCTAGTACTGCGCCAAAGTTTTGGGTCCCACCGTATGGTTTTTTATATTTTGCTGCCAAAGAGCCAGACTTTGTTGTATTTTTTTTATTTGTCCTTTTGAAAGCTCAAAGTTTTTCTTTGGACACTGGCTGCTTTTTCACAGATTTTCAGTCCATTCCCTGTATCTCGCCATTTTCAGTAGAATGCTTTTTGCTTGTTTGCTTGTTTGCTTGTTTGTTAAGCCACTAAACACTGACCAAGCACTTAACTTAATAGATAAACCAGAGTTGTGTCTACACATAAGGGGCAACTTATCAAAGAAGTCATTTTAACTTAAATAGACTGTTTGTTACTGGCAGACTATCACAAGAACATCTATTTTGTTCCCATTTTTTCAGTTGAATTTATCCAAAATGTCAAACGTAGCAAATTTTGATACAAATAAAACTGAATTTCACATCAAAAAAGGCAATTCTGAAAGAGTTATTTGTTAGTTATTTGTCATGACATATAACAGCATGATGTACAGAGTCTGAACAGTATCTGAATGTCATCTCCTAAGAAACAGGAAAAACTCCAGTAACACAGGACCTTTAAAATTTTCTGAAATTGTCATCAACACATACTGATGAGGTCAGGAGAGAAGTACAACCATGAGTATCTACAGCCGTCTGTACAACACTCTGTCATGGTTTGGGGATGCATTTTAGTGAGTGTTGTTGTGGATCTTGTCAAAATTGATGGAATTATGTACACAGAATTATGATTAGATTTTGACTGACCATGCAACACCATCTGGAATGATGAAAAAGATGAAAAAGATCCCAAACACACTACCAATGCAGTAAAAGGATAGAAAAAGAGACTTGCACAGCCAGATTGGGTAGCTGGACCACAAAGGTGCAAAAGTAAGAAGAGAAAACAATATACAACAAGGGTGGAAATATATATATAAGTGAAAAACACACAGTGGAACACTATCAGTCATGGATTGGCCTTCCCTGGACCTCAACATTATTGAAGCACTGTGGGGTCTTCTTGACAGAGATCAGCACAAACAGCAGAACCACCCAAAGCTTTGAAGTCTGGGGAACTATTCCTGAAGGCTACTTAAAGAAATGACAAGAAAGCTGCCTAAGAGAGATCAGAGTGAAGACTAAAGGTGGTCATACCAAATATTGACTTTCAAGCTTTTTAGAATTGTACAAACTCTATCTTACCTTATTGCCCACTTTATTTCCATGTATGTGTGCATGTTTCAGTAAACTGCTGCGCCTCTTTGCCATTTCCCTATTAAAATATAAAGACGTGATTCAAGACTTCTGCATGGTATTACACTCATTTATTCATTGGTCCATTAGATTCACTAAAGGTATGACATAACATTTAAGCGTGTAGCAGATATTATTTTATCTGAAAGGTCATTTATTAAATTTTTAAAAAAAAATGGGATTTAAATTTTTGTTAAAAAATTAATTAATGGCAAATCACGAAAAATAAAGAAAATTATGTGTATTTTGCTACAAAAGAAGGACTAGTTTTGTCTATAAGATGACGCAAAAGGAATCAGAATCAAATTATCTTTATTAAGTGGAGTCCCTGCGGTGTCAGGAGAAAAAGGTTTTAAAATAATTACAAAAGAATAGTATAAAAAAAGAGGAATAAAATAGTTTTTCAGTTATAATGAAAAGAATCTTATTGCACATAAACACTATTGCAAAGGATGTTACAGGCTGTCATCCATTGCACAGTATTCGTCAGGTTGTATTGGAAGTGATTACTTGTAATTCAAAGCCCTAACAACTATAGGGGAGAACTGCAATGTTCCAAAAAATAGTAATGTCAAAGTATCTTACTGTATATTTTACAGTTTTGTACTGTCTTTCTAGAATATCATTAAATTTACATAAGTAGACTGTGATTTTACATGTCCAAGGTAAAATAACATAACATCACTGTAAATATAATAAAACACAATTTACTTGTTTTTTAAATATATATTTTTGTACATATGCATATTTAGATTGTAAAAATACATTCAGAAATGTATCATGATTTCACAAATATTTGTCTGTTATTTGAAAGATCGAACTGTTGAATTCAAATGTAATGCTATGGAAAAGTATATAACATGATTCCTATAAGCTTGTGTTACATCACATAAGTATTATTATCATTGCTATTTAGGGCGATTGTAGCTCAAGAGTTGGCAGTTCGTCTTGTAATCAGAAGGTTGCCGGTTCGAGCCCCGGCTCGGACACTCTCGGTATTGTGTCCGTGGTCAAGACTCTTCACCTAATGGCGATGGCCAGAGGGGCCGATGGTGCGATATGGCAGCCTCGCCTCTGTCAGTCTGTCCCAGGGCGTGCAATCCATTATTATTTAAACCAACTGTTAACTGTATATTTCTGTACATTTACGTATTATGATTCATATTGCCACATTCATTGACCTTGTTTATAGGTAATTTCATTGTTTGATCACGTTAAAATGTTCCTAATTCAATGTCTAAAAGCACTTGGAAAAGGCAGAATCCCATGTAACATTAGCGCAACAAACTTTATTGTCATTACTGGAAATAACTGTATTTTTATGAGGAAGTTATTTTCTGTTATGTTACGGTAGTATTTTGGTGCCCCAGCTGCCGGAATATTACCGTTTTTTAAAGATGTTTTTTTTAACAGTGTGGCTATTGCTGATGGCAGCAGTTTGTAGAGATTATGAGCAGGGTGTGGGGAGTCTTTTATGATATTTCCTGCTTTCCTGAGACAATGAGAGCAGTGCAGTTCATCTAGAGGGGGTAAAAAACAGAAAGTGATCCCTTGGGCAATCTTTACAATCACACACAGAGGCGGTAGCATAGGATGCTCTCTATTGAGCAATGATAGAAGTCCCTGCACCACACTGTCAGTCGCTCCACTTTGTCCCTGTAGGCAGACTCATCCCCCCCATATGTTATAAAAAGCTTGTGCCATGTGTTGCAGTTTGCTTCTTTTTCAAATGCTTATGTTTGAGGATTGCATATAGGCTCATACAAAAAACATGAAAGCAGCACAAGAACCTTTAACATATAAGTCAAGTAACACGCAACATTGAACAGAGAAAGATGCATTTCATTAGTTGATGCAAGTTAGTAATGAAATGAAAACAGAAGCATCTGAGTGCAGTCTGCCGTGCCATTTTAGGTTTATTCTAAAGAGATTTAGATTGCAGTTAAAAGGTGTCATTGTCTCCTTTCAGTCTTTACAGTGAGCTACTCAAGATCATACTGCAGCTGCCATCATGCATATCCGTAGCTGCTTCTTATCAGATTGTGAGAGTTCCCCATCTGCCATCCAAGTTAGCTGCAACTTTTGGCTCGGTTTTTAAAAACAGGCACTTCTTTTCTGTTTGGTTTGTAGAGTCTTCATTATTCTGTTAAATGGACAATTTCCCTTTAATGCTACTTTAGGGAGCATAATATGTTGTTCAGCGCATGCATTAATGCAAGTATGTAATGCACAAAGTTCTGAATGCTTTACAAACTGGTACTATTAATGGTGTTTTTTTTATGCTCAGTGTGGCTAACTTTAGCTTTCCCCACATTTTATTTTCTTCAGAAAATGAGGCTCAGTCTTCCTCTGACAATCTCTGAGTCTCACAGTAGGTCTATAAGCAGTCTGACACAGGAAGTGTGAGACAGTGTGTTGTGTGTCTTATCTGCTAATGATTCTAATATTTACCTTCTCATTTGGTAGATGTTTAAACTGGGAGCCTGAAAACTATTCATATGGACTCTGTATGCAAGCGCTTTACTGCTGCTGAATGTATTCGCCATCACAAATATGCATTTACTATTTTCATTATTATATTATCCATTTCATTTATTGGCAGCACTTCGTCCGCACTACGCTCGTCGTGGTCATGTTAAGTGTGACCACAGGAGTCATCACAGTTCTTATCTGCTTCCACTTTCCTGCCGAATGTTTGAAAAAAAAAAACTGACATGGACATCAAAGATGAATGTTATGTGCATATGTTTTAATTCAGTTATCCCATGTCTCTCTTTGCTTCTTAACAAAAGGTGTGTAGCTTTGTTAGTTTTTTGCAGAAGTATTCAGGAACGTTGCAGTTGAGCCAGGGTAGAGACCGATTAACCCTGCACAAAATCAACTAGTTCTTTGTTTGAGAAAGCACCTGAAAGTTAGTTTTGTCACGTAAAAGCTGTATTGCAGCGCTCCTGAACTCTGTGGTGTGCTTGCTGTTGTCATGTTCTAATTGACTAGATTTATGTGGTGCCTGGGAACAACCTTTAAGAGAAAAAGAAACTCATAAGTCAGCCATGTTTTGCAATAATGAGCATGCAAAACGGCATTGCATCTGCTTAATATGATGTGGTTACATATGTCATTTATTGTTCCTACATGTTAGTGACTTCATGACCGCAAGATGAGTATATATACAGAGCCAGTACAACAGAATAGTGTTTCTCCCTGGACCATTCGGCCCAGTATGCACTGCACTTTGCTTTAAGCCTCTTTCTAACCTTAGTAAGGTAAAAACCATGCTACAGCCATGTTGTTCTTGTGGGGAAACTTGACACAGCACTCAGTGTGATACCTCACCTAGTTTGTAATTTTTACACTTCTCAGAAAAAACACTAAAAATAGTTTGTGAGTTCACACTAACCTACATGTGATCAGGCTGAGTTAAACAAAGGAGGCGGGGACCTTATTTATTTCTAAAGAATTGTTAACACAGTCAATATAATGAGCAAAAACACAAGAAAGAGACTGAAAGCATTAATTAGTAAACCTGCCCTAGTTGCACGGAATTGCAATATTTACTTTTGCAGATGCTCCTCCACTGATTATGAGCTCTGTAAATATCTGAGTATTGCATGTATACTTGGTGCAGTATTTGAAAATGTATCAAACTTTACACAGCTGACCTGCAGGACAGCTAAAGACATTAAAGAGGAAGTGCTAGACAGCAGGAGACTGAACAGTTGCTGTCAGAGGAAGTGATGTTGTTCAATGTTAAAATGTTTAAAGATTGTTGCTTAGCTCTAGCAGGGTGGTAAGGAACCACTCGTGCACATAATTTCTCTCTGACCCCATCTCAGCACTCTGTGTTTCCTCCTCGTCTTTTGCCCTTTGGTCTGTTGTTCCATTTTTCTTCCAGCTGCCTCCTCTCATTTGTCATCTCTCCCCATCTTCTCTACATCTGTTTAATGATTCTTCATCTTCCTTAAATCTATTTTATCCTCTTCACTTTCACTCACACTTTTAACCCCCCCTCCCCCCAAGTGCTCATCCAGCCATCCTTCCCTCGATCCCATCACTCATTTTCAATGTAGCTGACTGACAGGCAGGTTTATACACCCTCAAGGTGGACACATAACCTCCTTGTGGATGGGTGAGAGGTCTAAGAGGGCTGATGTCTCCAGGGTGTGTGAGAGTGAGTGCATACCGGCAGTGTGACAGTGCTCAGTGACGTGAACTGAGGCTTAGGTACCAGCAGTTCTGCCCCGGGTTTGATAATGCAGCCATACTGTGTGTGTGTGAAGTACAGTACAGTAAGACATTTTTTTTGTTGTGCTAGCTTTGCCGCATGAGATTTGAAACTATATTGTGACTAGAAAATGACATACAGCCCTCATCGTAGACACTGACAACTCCATACTTGGTTTAAGACACAAGTGATGTAAACACATTGGGCTAAAGTTGAGTCTAAGACTTTGAGTGCAAATAACTCCAGTGTCCTCACATACATGTAGTATGGATATGGGGACACTATATAATAAATGTGCTGCCTGTATGGTGGCCCTGAGAGGTCAAACACACTGCAACTTAAAAAAAAAACAACCCACCATCAAATAGAAATATTTTACTGAGTGCATCTTTTTGTGAACCAGATAAGATGGCATGTAGTCCTACACAGTACTGTGATAGATTGAATTCTGGATAAATTGCAATCACTAGCAGTGAAGCTCCCCCAACACCATCGCCCACCAGTCCATGCTTGATGGTATCTACACATGAAAAGATCACAGACTGAATCATTAATCATACATTTTTGATCAAAGTCCAAATTTTCAAGTCAATGCAATACATGTGACTACTTGGTCATCCACAGTGGTGTTTTTCTTTGCAGCAATTTAAACACCAAGGCCTAAATTTACTGACAGTTAATGTGAGAGTCCGATTGCCAAGAACATGACCAAACTAGAGTAATGGTGTCAGTGTTGAGTCTAATAGTGTGGGGAAGAGGAAGTGATGTAAAGCATAGACTAGCAGCCTGAACATCCAGGAAAACAGGAAGATTAGTGGTTACAGATCTTCCTCATTAAGCTTTAACATAAGCTTTACTTGGCCAATTTGGAAATTTGACACCTGGACCATTGTATTTAAAGAGAAGGTAAAATAATAATTGTGCCACTTGGAGGAATTTTACAGACAGTTCCCAAAAACAAAGTCAGATTTTGGTTATTTTTGAAACACATTAGAGTTGGCTGGTTTTGCAGGTATATCTGGAAATCCGCTTGTTCTTAAAAGTTTGAAACATTTATTAGAATATTTAAACAAAATTCTTTGTCTGCTGCTAAATAATTTGGTTCTCACATGTAGAATATTTATTAGGTCAAGATTTAGATCCTCTTTTTTGTCTTAGACTGCTTAGAAGCAAAGCTATATTGTAATGGTTGAGCTGTTGCATTTAACTCAGTATCATGGTGTCATGATTACCTCGAAGGTTTCCATTACCACTAATCCCGAGGCTTTGCATAATCACAAACCTGCACAAGTCTTACTTAAGTCATCTTTGAATACTGAACAGTTTCCAGGAAATCCACTGCTGTAGAGAAGCTCATTGGGTCGAAGCAGTCAGACTTCATCCCTTTACATTTCTCCTTTGACTTTGTGATTTTTTTAAGCTTTTTACAGCAGCTGCTGTTGGGGACCAGTATCCCAGCCATCATTGTACTTTATGCACTACATTGAACTGGTATTCAAGAAAAAGCTTTGGCTGAGACCATCAATAGACTTGATATTGAACTAAAGAGGCAAAGATCCATGAAAAGCTCTTTTGCTAACCCCCCACCCCCACTAGCATCAATACACAAACCACCATGTTAACACCCTATCTCTTTTTGCCTGATTTTTTTTTCCCTTTACTATGCTCTCTCTTTTTATCCTCTTAGCACTGAAAACTTCAGCTGCCTTCCATGAACAGAGAAGGAGTTTGGAACGGGCTCGGGTGAGTATGCCATCCTCAAATCAGTCACTGATGTCAAAACTGATGCAATTTAAGCTTTGAGAGGTTTTAAAACACGTATCATTACAGAAGCATTCTGATTTGTCTTTTCCTGCTTTAATGTAAGCCAAAAAAAGAGTTGGGATAAGACCATTGGCTCAGACAAATAGACTTAGACTTGTATAGAGCAATGCAAAACTATCCACCAAATCAGTGCTTGCCCCAAGGGCAACATCATCGGCAGTTGTGAGTGAGTACATGGGAAGATGGATGAGTAGGTTAAAGTAATTCTCCATTAGTAACTAGCTAAAATGATAAGATAAACACAGGCCCTTTAGTTAGCTTAGGAAAGCACGGTCTACATTGTTAAGAGAAGGGTTTATGTAACTACACCTAAAGAAGGAGAGGAACCACAATGTTTAACAGTGTACAATAAAGGATTTGTGAGTGCAAAACTGAGAGATTTTCCACTCCTTCTTCTTCTTGTCTCTTGGTCTCTCTCCAGACGGAAGACTATCTCAAGAGAAAGATCAGGAGTCGACCAGAGAAATCTGAACTGATCAGGATGCACATCTTGGAGGGTAAACACTACACAGAGCCACATACCTCTGGAACTTTGGTCAATCTAAGGAAAAAGACACATTAGATCCATGCACACTCGTAAAGAATTTCCATGCCCGGTTTGTGTGTCTATGCAGAGCCGTTCCTTCAGGTCAAGCAGCTGAAGAAAGCATGCCTCGCTGTTGATTTGAATGATAAGATTGCCCAGAGGCCAGGGCCCATGGAGCTGATCCATAAAAACATTCTACCCGTTCACTCCAGTATTAAACAAGCCTTCATAGGTAAGTGAGAACTATTTTTAGGCAACAGTTTCAGTATGAATAAACAGGACTCAACTTGCCCTTTACATCATGTTTTTGCAATTTCACCAAATTGTTTATTGGGTTGCTGCCATCTTCAGCTGGATCACCGTAGACCCCTCTCAGGATTACTTCTGCTGAGTGGAGGAAATTATTATCTTAAATGTTATAAGTGCAGAGTTATTTATGGTTGATTGCAATAAGCTGACCACAGAGAAAAAACCCACAAACAAAGCGTTGAGACCAGATATAATGATCTTAAGCAGATAGATGCAGTTATTGCAGACAACTTGTGTAAGCCTTTCAAGAGCTTATCCGTAAGTCTCTATTTTCCAGCCATCAATACACAAACACACAGTCTCGATATGTAGGGCTGTTGCACAATAACACATTAGTCATGCCAACTTTAGAAGGCCTTACTTTGCAAATTTTGTTTTATTATTTCTGCCCCCTCAACAATCAACAAGTGTACTATTGCTATATAATTTCCTGCACACAGCCTGTGTGGAGGAAGGAAGTGTGATATAGATTTTCATCAAAACACACCCACACTGTGAGGCTCCTGACAGGAGATCCCTCCTGGCCCCTTCCTCCACCTATCATGAATCTACTGATGCTTCCTCCCAGATCCCAGATGCTTCAGTTGTCCTCACCACATACTCACACAGGCACCCATACATGTCAACAAGAACCACCTAACATACAAATTTTTCACAAACAGCGCACTGACAGCCAAACACTTCAATTGATCAATTCTATGAGTTTGGAAAGGTTGGAGGGGGGTAATTGTAAATGATGCATGACCTCTGATTCCCATTTTAACAGACAAGAGACGAAGATACTGCTTACTTCTCTGTTCTCGGTTGGTTTTAAACAATCACAGTGCCTGTTAATAGAGAATCACTTGCTAATTGAAGAGGTGACATTTTAAAATAATGGGGACCTATTAAGCTTAATTCAATTGCATATTAATATTTTCAGAATAGATCACTAAAAAAATAATCCTTAGTTGTTTCACACTGGCCATTAATGGAGCTTCCTCCATTCATCTATAGTCTGAAATGAGCGCTTTTATAGCTCTTTTCCAGTAATTTTTTTGAGGTAATTTAATAGAAAAAAAGAATGCTGTATTCATAAATATACATTGATTAGTGCGCAACTACATCTTCCAACAAATAGATACATTGTCATAAACTTAAAATTAACCCATTAAAAATACACAGCAACGACCGCAAATTTTGATTTGTGTCTTTAGCTATGTTAGCAATATTTTATCATCTGAAAAGGGGTCCACTTTACCAAAGATGCAAAAATGTGAGTCAGAGCTGTAACACATGAAAAAGTCCATAAACATGCTTTTTTATTCTAATATTGTTGCAATTACTTATTGTCAGCAGATCAGATATACCACCCTTCCATCTCTGGACAGCTGACAATGAAGCAACTAAACAACACAGTTAGCTGGTTATATGCTAATGTTGTGTCAACTAATGTGAGACTCGAGTGTTTTAACAGTCACATTTCCCCTCTGAGAAACAGTTTGATAACTTTCTCACATCATATGAGAGTTTTTGAGACCAACAATGTTAGATCCACTTCAACAAAAGTTTCACTTGTGCGGGCTAACAGCGGCAAAAATACTGGAGTCTATTTGCTTACTGACATAAAAGGATATCCTCAGCAAAAGAAGTGACTTTCACTTACTCATTGACTCGTGTTCAAGTCCTGTCACAAAGTTTTACAGTCTCCTCCAGAGTAAATAGACTCCAATATTTTTGCTATGGCTGTTATGGGGTCCGGTGTAAATGCAATGTTTTGATCTCTCTTGGCTATCTTGAACATGTTTGTCCTACAATGGCCACGGTAGCTAGGATTATGAACTTAAATTAGGAGAATTAAGAAAACAGAGTTCAGTTGACTGCAGTCTACTGACATATAGCAGTGAGATTTTACCCACCAAGGTCATTTTCTATATGTTTGGTTGCCCATTGTAGTCAAGAGATAATGATGACTTTTCACGTCCCGAGGCGTTCTATGGTGACCTTCCGCGTTCCTATGCTACACGGCGGATTGTGGATGAAATTGAATAGAGGGAAGCTCCCGTGTTAACATCTGTTCCAGCCCTGTATTCCAGCCCTAGGTGTTTTCAAAGCGATTTAAGTAAAATAAACGTACATGTGTAGATTTATTCCAAACAGTTCTCATGTTTCCTCATTTTTCAGAACTCGTAATATAGGGACCTGTTGGGTGGCCAAAAGCGTAATATACCGATGATTTGTCACCTAGCCTTAAATGTTACACTTTGGGAGTGAGAATGTGTTGTCTGCTCTCACTGGTATCATACAGCTCCAAGAATAAAAGAAACTTCCTGAAATAAGGATGAAGATCGTCTAAGTGGGATTTGTATATAGAACACTTTTTTTTTCTTTGTACTGTGGGAGCAAGGAATCGGTGGGTCCAGCTGCTTGATTGATGTGTAGAGGAAGAAGGTTGAGATTTAATAACAGACTGTGTCAGTGGAATATCCATCTCTGTCACTGCTACACAATAAACACAATTACATTACCGCCACTTTTGGTAGGAGCACCAGGAACTAGCTAGATGAGGTTGACATATGAGCATACAAAGCATGATGCACTCCCACACCCACACACAGCACAGCTGTAAGCGAGTCATTACATTATTAAATCAGCCCCGTGTTGTCTTTTCATCATTACCTGCTGATGGTAAATTAATGGACAGCAGTGTGTTCTAAATAGCAGTGGGCTACTGCCCGTTAGCACCTCCTGTAATTTAATAACTCAGTTCTATTATTAAAAAAAATGGCTCTACAGCAGTCCTGGGGATCCTAGCGGGTACTTTTATTCCTTAAATCCCTGTGAAGACTCATAAGTCTGCATAATAATGAAATGATTATATGATATGGCGAATGGGAAAGCTGGCAGGCTTGGATTAAAGCTATGCTGTAAGATGTCTTAACCTTCCTGTGGCTGGCTAATAAGGAAACTTTGGGCATGTGGTTGACAATTTTCTTTTCAGTTTTTTACATTGCTGTATCTGATTTACTATTATATCACGCTCAGCTGCATTTATCTGTTGCATACGAAACATATTTTAAAGATATTTTAAAGAGAATATTATTAGTATAGCAGGCATAAACAGGGAAAGCCGTCACATAAACAGTTCAAATACTCATCGCATAAATTACACAGACGATCCTTCAGAATCCTCAGCACAACGTCATCCTTAGAGAGACGCCATCTGTTACATAAAAACTGTTATAAAAGCCTCGTTTGGCTGTGTGGGAAATGAACATAGATGAATGAAAAGCAAAATGCTTGACAAAAACCTGACTGATCACAGGTGCATCTAGGACTGGCTCTGGTGGACATGATATGACTACAGAAAAGTGTTTAAGTAGTTTAGACAGCTCTCTCGCTCGCTGTGTCAGTTGTTGACGGGACACTGGGGACGAGTGTCTTGTGTGCATTTTTGTAGGATATTGAACATTAACAAATGCAAGCCTCTGATGAGTCACCAATACTTGTGGAGGAGGCACAGGTGATAATTTGTCTGACTTTGGAGGTGCCCACAAGGTGTTAGAGTCACAAGCAGAAGTCCAGTGGCTCAGCTCCTGTTAATGCAAGTGATAGTGTTACACAGGCACACAGACTTGGGCAAGGACGTAAAATCACTGGGTAGTACATTTATTTTATGGTTTAATTTAACTAGATAATGTTTATTTCCTTCCCTCGTCTCCCCCACAATGCTTCTCCTCTCAGAGACGCAGTTTCAAAGAGCCTCGGGAGAGAACTCTTCATTTGATGAGGACACTAATGACAGTCTGTCTCCAGAGCAGTCCACGTCTGTCAGTGAGGAGGGTTGTTCGTTGGGCCTGGGACCTCTGCCCACTCCAAAGGAAACACAGACAGGCCATGGCATCCCGTCTCCTACACAGGTAGGATCACTGCAGAGAGTGGGACTAAGATGCTGTGCAGAATGTATGCAAGACTGTAAATCTACAGCTTTGTAGAGGCTGTGAATTAGTGCATTTGTCTGTGTATATGTGACGTGCATCAGATTTACCACTGGTGGTGGTGTAGCACAGTGTGGGAGAGTTTATAGTGGGTGCAGTTGTCACAGAGGGGATAACCGGGCTGTCGTGAGGCGAAAATAACAACATTTTGAGCACCCACTCACTCACACACTAGCAAGTTTAGCATTTCGCTACATCAACCATCTGATGCACGGAAAAGTACTGTTTTGTATCATTTAATTACTGAATAAAAAGCAGTGAAAACTACCTGGAGATTTATTCACTGAATAAATTAAAATCCAGTTCTTCCCTCATTGACGTGCATCAACAACAGTACTTCCAAACCAAGCTAAGAGGCTATAGTCGTGTTACATACTGCAGATTTTTGGTATTGATCCCATACCAAGTAAATACATGACCAATGTTGCTAATGCCAGTACCGATACAGATACTTCCAACTTACAAAGGCAGCTTACGTAGGGGAGAGCGGTGTGTAATGACTCACTGGATTGTAAATGTTCCTGCCTCTAAAGCACTTTGGATCTTCTGTTGTTTAAATGAGCTATAAATAATATACTTGTCACAGTCAACATATAGTTGTAGTGCATGTTTGAAGTTTATTTTTTCAGCTTCCAAAAAATAATGATTTAGCAAACACAGTTTAGTGGGTTAGAGCTTAGAGGATAGAAACAAGATATCCATCCAATACCAGTGTCGGTATAGAGAGTATTTATATTTGGATCGATCCACCAGCCTCTAAGTAACAGCAGTGGATGCAGCGACTCCAGACATCTATGGGATGAGTTTGATTGTCATATTGACATTTGCCATGTCCATAGGGGGGGGGGGGGACAAATTGAGCATTTGTGAACATGGTGCGTTTTGTATGTAAACCTTTTCTGCTATGTAATTTTACATTTACCACAATCTTCGATGTTCACTACTTTAAAAAAAAAAATGAAGACCTTTTCAAATGGGATGATTCTTTTTGACGCCTTGCAGTTTAGCCATGAATGATCAGCCAGTGTTTCCATTCAACCAATCAGGTCCCACCTACAGCTCCTTCTCTCCTACCAACCTCTGGGTCACCCATTTCACTCAAGCTGACCAATGAGACAGGGGCGTCATCTCTCCTGAGGACAGGTGCCAACAAGGTAACATCTGTCAGTTCAGCTCTGTTAGTTGTTAGACACGCATACATTAGACTGGACCGCTTCAGTCCTGTCACAATGACGACTAAATTATGAGCTTTCGTAAATGATTATTTTAGCTTTTAGTGTTAATTGCTAAAATTATTATTGAGAGCTGTTCCGAACTGCAGATGATGAAGTGAACACGGTCTCCATAGATCACCTCTGGTGGCAACAGGAAATCTCGCATGTGTTGTGGGTTTCTCATTTTGCTTCCCTCATATTGTGGTTTTTAAGTTTCATTTTACTCTCATTAAAATTACTCATCTTTTTTTTTTTTTTAGCCACAACCCAAACCAAACTGTGACCGCTCTGGCCTGAGACACAAGAAAACCAAGGACAAACCAAAGGTAGAAACTTTTCCTTCTCTGAGGAAACTATTCCAGTGCTGGCATTCCAAATAGCCAGTGTAGCTACAGCTAAGAGGAGGCAAATATTTGTCTGAAATGCTGTGCTGTAGTGCTGAAATAATGACTTGCTGTTAATCTGGGTGCTTTCCAGATAAAAAAGTTAAAGTACCATCAGTACATCCCTCCTGATCAGAAGGGAGATAAAGAGCCTCCTCCTCATCTGGATTCATCCTATGCCAAGATCCTCCAGCAGCAGCAGCTCTTCTTGCAGCTCCAGATCCTCAGTCAGCAGCAGCAGCGCTACCACACCATCCTCCCTGCACCAACTAAGTAAGTCCAGATGCATGCTCTTCTGTGGAGTGTGAAGGATTGCACGTTCAAAGGCTGGAAGGAACATGGGACATAAACGTCTGTTTTCAGAACTCAAGAGCACCTGTTAAGATTTACTTTTGTGTCACTGTATTTTTGCCCAGCAGATCCCAGACAGCTCAGCAGCCATCTTCCTCCTCTAAGTCCATGCACACCTCCTCCTCCCCACCTCGACCTGCTGGTGCACCTTTAGACTTCTCTAAACATTTGGTCCACACCTGTCTAAGTTCTGTCCCGCTAGGTGGAACCAAACCAGTGTCTCTGCCTCCAAACCTCGATGAAATGAAGGTAAATTACACAGCGACACGCACATCCCAGAGAAACCTTTCCTACCTTATGTGTCATTTTTATAATATGAGTAACATGCATGACTGCATACTAAGCATAGTATAGTGCAGTAAAGAATTAAAAGTCTAAATAAATATCTGTCTGTGCTATGACTTGTCAGAACCAAGCTAGGTTTATAGCAGGAACGGACGATTTATCAATAAAGGCTGGAGTTAAGCGATGTATTAAAAGTGTGTAGTAATGGTAGGGCTAAGTGGGTAGCTGTGGCCAGGTGGGAGCCACAGCAGCAATATGTTCAGGGAATCCAGAGATTTCTCTTGAAAAATATAGTGGCAGGGGGGCTGGAGGAGAGGCTGGAGCTGGAGGAGAGGTAGGGTTAAACAAGCAGATTTGCAGATTGATTAATTCAAAAGGCTGGAATGAGACTAACTGGCTGTAGTAGCTGATTCTACAATCTGGAGTTGTAGTGGAGTTGAAGTTGAAGGTGATTGGTCCATTCAAATGGTACAACTCAAACCACTCCTGAACTGAGACTAATGTAAAGAGAAGAGGGAGGCTGGAGCAGCTGGCCTGACATTCGTACCCTTTAGATGGAGTAAATGGGAGATGTGATGTGATGCATGGCAAAAAAATCCTCAAGGTTTCTTTCATTCGATGGAGCCAACCAGCTCAGTGAAGTTAAACAATGAGACAGTGATGGATTACTTCTTCTTCTTGTTCTCGTTTTGATTTCCCTTTCAAATTTATCCTAATCTCTTTGCTTTCCCCGTCTCTCTTTCGTCTATCTCAATTCTTTTTTTAATGCTGTCTTTACATCAGGTTGCGGAACTGAAGTCCGAATTAAAGCTGCGTAACTTGCCCGTCTCCGGCACCAAAAACGACCTCATTGAGAGGCTGAGGACATATCAGGAATTAAGCCGAGGCAGTGACACTACCTCGTCTCCAACAGCAGGGTGTACCACAGGGCCAGGGGCTGAAGGAGCAGGAAAATCATCCAAGAGCGCTGCAATCATCATCACCAGTAACAATACACGCATAGAGGTGATCCTAGAAAGAGTATATAAACTTTCTGTTAACTGTCTAATACCAGTCTTTCTGGACATTTTTGTGTAGCTGAAGCGGGCAGCAGTGGGAGCCTAAATGCAGCAAAACCTCAACAGTTCATGACCTGCAATGGGAGCCTTGCCTCTTCAGCTGTCTCCTTCATTCCCTCACCGACTGCCATGAGTCCAGAAGACACCAGTTTTAACAGTGACCTCTTAGGGGAGCTGGTAATACCTTTTTGTTGCTAATAATAAACCTTAGAGGACTTCAGAAATTTACTGAAGAAAGCCGTGCATTACACATATTTAAGCGTCACAGTGATAAATTCACTTCCTCTCAGAACTTCCTTGTTTGAAAAGTTCAAGATAAAAGCTAAAACACCACAAAGTGTTGATAATGAGACACTTATATTGCTAATGAAGTTGAAAAGCGGAAGATGATAGATTTTATTAAATTAAATAATATGGTAAAAAAAACAAAGTGAAACATTCCTCAGAGATTTTGGTCCACATTGACATGACAGCGTCACACAGTTTTTCTGGATGCACATCCATGATGTGAATCTCACGTTCCACCATAAAAAATGAATGAACATGAAGTACATTTGTATGACAAATTAAAGGAAAACCCAATTTACATGTCTTTGTGAGGTGTTAAACCAGCAGTCCCCAAAAATGTTTGCGCCATGGATCAGTTTATATTTGACAATATTTTCACAGACCGGCCTTTAAGGTGTCGCAGATAAATACAACAAAATAAAACCAGTACCGGTACCGAAAAAAAAGATTTATTCATAACACACAGGAAAAGACCCAGGGAAACAGAGTTAATGATAAAAACGCTAAAAAAAAATAATGATAAAAACCCTGAAAACTAAAAATTTCACACCCAAGCCTCAACTCTCGCAGCCTGACGACTCACGGAACGGTTCCGGTCTGAGGCCCGGGGGTTGGGGACCGCTATGTTAAACCATGACATGTCACCAAAATTAGTTCAATTCTGCAAAAATCCTACTTCACATGATTCCTCTTATTTTCGTACTCATCAACTGTTCATCTGCCCCTCTGACACTATCAGCCTGGAAGAGTCCCCATGCATTAGGCAGAAATGTTTAATGACAGAATAAAGGTGATCGCTCAGATCCCACACTGTAACAGAGGCACTGGACCATTGGTATTCAAGTTTTTCCTTTAATTTGTCAGCTCCTTGTATATTGTAAGGTGAACCATTATATAATTAAAACTGCAGACACACAGTTTGCTTTACACTTATAGATTACCTATTTCTTCTCTCAATAGATGAGTTCACCTCTCAACCAATTGAGCCTCCAGCCATCTTCAGTTGCTCAGCTCTCCACAAACGTTAAAGAGGAGCCTCGATGCTCGACTCCCACTCCTTGTCAATACTCTTTAAAGTCTGCCTCTCTTCAAAGACGCTCCTCAGTATCTTCAGGTGTCCCAGCCACTACGAGCACAGCTCCTGTACTGAGTGTTGATAAAGACAGATTGCTGCAGGAGAAAGATAAGCAGATAGAGGCACTGACCAGGATGTTGTGGCAGAAACAGAGATTGGTGGAGGTGCTAAAAATGCAGCTGGAAAATGGAGACAGAGGAAAGGCTCCAGAGCCAATCAGTCCTCTCGGGGTAAAAGAAGAACCTCTCGATGAGCCCGATGTTGCCTTCTCAATGGACTTTGATCGATTTCCCTCGCAAAAATCACCTATTTCACAAGAGATGGATATTACCAAGGTAATTGTGAAACAGGAAGTAATCGAGGAAGAAGAAGTTAAACCTGAGAAAACTTTCCAATCCCCAATCACTCATGGATTGCCGCAGTCCTCAACCCAAACACAGGAGGAGCATCTGGCTCAACAACACATCATACAGAAAGTCCTGCTACAGCAGCAGCAGCACAACATCCAGAATCAGACGCTGGAGAATCAGCACGACCTGCAGAAACTTTGTCAGCAGAGAAAGAAAAAATCTCAAAACCAGCAAAAGCAGCTCCTGCTGCAGTCACAACAGCAGCATCAGCAGTCAAAGCACGTGCAACAGATGCAGCTGAAGCAACAGCTTCTGCTGAAGCAACAAAAGTCGCATATGTTGCCACAGCAAATGAAGACTAAACAACAGACTAAACAACTACAGCAAATTCAGATTCAGACCAAAATACAGCTGAAGCAGCAACAGGTGCCCAAACAGCAGATGAAGCAGCAGCAGCAGCCATCGAAGGTTAGGACTGGCTTTTATCTATAGTGTGTGGGGTTGGAGTTTTATTTAACTGCATTGCTTGTAAAGTTCTGCTCTTAAGAAGGATCCTGAACAATCAGCTCTGGTAAGAATTTAGAATAAAGAGAATAATTATAACAATCATATCTAGCAAGCACTGAATATGATGAATCAAAACGGAAGTTAATTTGTTGCCATGCTGGTATGCAGTGAAGTGTAGACTAGACTGTGTCGGTTCTTCCCATAAA